GGAAGTGGTTATTCTACTGAGCCATCTCCCCTTCTCATTTTCCTTCCCTTGTGAGTGCCAGGGAGGGGAAGGGGGACATGAAAGAGACTCAAGAGTGTCCTCAGTGGAAGCTAGCGTGGAGATTCAAATCCCTAGGCTGTGGATAGGGACAGGAAAGTGCAGGCAGGACCCAGATCTCCCAGCCTCAACATCCACCCACAATGGTCACAAGACCATTCACTAAAGGGTTTGTGTGAGCGGGAAGCCAGCTCTCTTGTCACTGGCAGACAGCAACCCCTGAAGCACTTGTGGGATGACACGGTGATGTTTGAGTCAGAGGCTGCCTTTGCTACATTTGGTCTGCAGATGAGAGCCTGCTGGCCTTGAGGAGGACCATGACTTGCTACTTGTTCTCCACAGCTACACACAATCTCAGTACAGAAAGCCCCACTTCACGGGCCGGTTGTTCACTACAACACCTGTCTCTCTGCAGTTTTCCAGGGCCTATTCCAAGGGGAAAGGTAGCCCGGCTCTTGTTTTTTAGGTGGAGAAGCAAGGCCTGAAGGCCGGCACTCCTTACATCAGCTGTCATCCAGGACCAAGCAAAGCCCTTTCCATATCCAAATCCTGTCCACTCTTTCAGACATTGAAGTTCACCTTACCGTGCAATCTTCTCTGGTCGCCTAGCTGGAACCAGCGGCTGTCTCCTCTGAGCTGCTCTCCATTGTCAACCCAAGCTGCCTCTCTGTCCCTCTGTCCCTCTCTAGGAAGTCTGACTTCCTACAATGTGGTTTAAATACAATGATCCATAATGCAGTCCCTTCCCCAGAGATGTCAGCATCTTTGATGGCAGAAATTGGATGTTACGGATTGCAAACAAACCTAATCCTAACTAATTCAATGTGTGTTCTTTATTTTTTAAATGTGCTTCTGTGTTTTCATATTATTTTTGCAAAATTAAAAAAAATTAAAAAAAGAAATCCAATTACTTGGAACACCGTGATTCAATAAAGCCTGCCGTATAACCTAGACCCTTCTCCTCTGATCAGATGCAAACCAAGATCCAGGCCTGGAGGGTGGTCAGGCCTGGGTGGTGTCAGCAAAAACAGTGTCCGAAGTGATTTCCAACAGGCTAAAATCAAAGTTCTTTATTATTCAAACATTTCATCTGCTTTTGCAGAAGAGTTTTTTTTTTTTTCCAAATTTTTACGAAATGCAATAGAAATTAGGCAAGGTATTTTAATAAAAGTTTTCAGCTATGGAGACTTTAGAAAGCTGCTAGGATGGATACTTCAGAGAAACAGAGATTTAGTTAATGTTGTAATCTTGGAAATTTATTGGGCAATGGGTATTTTCTTATGTT